TGAAGAAAAAGGTAGTCCATCAGGAATATATAACAATTGTAAACATATACATACCTAACAGCAAAGCATCAAAATTCATGCAGCAAAAAAACCTTGCAAATATGAATGGAAAATAGATAATTCAACAATAATGTTTGGAGTTCTCAAAACCCATTTAGATAATAGCTAGAATTATTAAGCAGAAAACCAACAATGTTACAAAACAATAGAACAAGGGGCTGTATGAGGCTATAGCTTACAGAGCATATACTTAGTATGGACAGGCTCCCTTCCAACAAAGTGCCTGGAATATTCTCAAGTATCTTGGAGTAAACTTCATTCTAAAGCATAAAAGAAACCTCAATTTTAAAAAGATAAAAACAATAGCATGTTCTGTGATCACTATAAAATGAAATTAGAAGTCAGTAACACCCAGGGTGCCACGGGCTCACACCTGTAATCTTAGCTACTTAGGAAGCTGAGACTTAGTGGACTGAGGGTCAAAGCCAGTCCAGGCAGAAAAGTCTTCCAGACTTCCAATTAACCAGAAAAATGCTGGACAGGATGTGTGACTCAAGTGTACAGCAACAACCATGAGGAAGAGGCCCTGATTTCAAGCCCTGTTGCCAGCATAAAGAAGAAGATGGAGAAGAGTAGAAAAGGAGGAAGAGGAAAAAGAAGAAAGGAAGAGATTTGGAAAACACAGTATTTGGAAGTTAAACCACATATTTCTAAATAATTAGTAGATTAAAGTGGAATGAATCAAAAGGGACATTAGTAATATAGATGAGAGGTTAGAGGTTCAATCTCTAGGTGATATATAATGAGCAATCACAACTTTTCTGTTATCACAAGGGAGTATTCAGATACTGTTTCACTATGAAATCCACTGTGATAATAAATCAACAATATTCAAACTAGATGTTCACAGTTATTGCAAGCATCAACTTTTGTGATTTAAATACTGTTCAACATTAATTCCTCTTACGTGCTAACTGCTACATATCAATGTGCCTTACCTTTCTATGTACATTTGATGCCTTTTTAAATATTAATGTCTCTGTTTTGCCTTTCATGTTTCATCTTTTTGGCTTGAAAAATATGAGAATCTTTCTCATATCACTGGATTGAAAACTATTTTCTATTGCATTCTATTGCATTCTATTCTGAGCATTTTAAGTAACTTGTACACAGCAAAAAAAATGTAAAGGCAAAACTATTGCCTTCTATTCTGAGCATTTTAAGTAGCTTGTACACAGCAAAAAATGTAAAGGCAAATCTGACAACTTATGAAGACAAAGAACTGCCCTGTGCATTTCTCTTCTGACTTCTCAGGTGAACAGTCCCTGAGAGAGTAAAACTAACTACTTACTAGCTATTAGGAACCATCCATCCCCCCAAATAGTAATGACTTTCATCATAGCAATCCAGTCTTATAAGTGGAGCTTCCATCTAAAAAATTTAAATGACCTAGTTAAGGTCATTTGCAATGATTGAATGCGTGAAGGTGACTGACAGACTTAGTTACAGATATAGAAATAATTTTAATGGTTACCATCTACAGATTGTGTGCTAACTTTACGTAAAGGCTATTCTAGTAAATTGAACCCAGAAATAGTTGCTTCTTAGTGTCTTGTAATTACAATGTAGTGTTGGACTTTGTGACCTGGTTCTATTTGATACAAAACTATTTGTATTGTCATTTTAGCAGAATTAAATTTCTAAATTAAAACATTGATTCTTAGCAACAGCATAATTAGTCTTAAGTAAATTCCACTTTATCGATTAGCTTCAATTATAATTAGTTTTGACAGCTATGTTCTGTTGGACCAGTGGTTCTGTCTCATATCACATAGAAAAGACCAACAAGGATACAGAAGATGTGAACAATGTTACAAAACAAATAGAACTAAGGGCTGTGTGAGGCAGTAATAACATAGAAACTCCATTTAGAGAATTCATATTTTCTCAGGAAACTAGGCAGTTGGTTGGTATTTTCTTTGCTTTTCATTTTATTCACAAAATAGTTATTCATTAGCTACAACTTGTCAAGGGCTCTGCAAGATGGTGGGCATATGTTAATGAACAAATTAACAAAAGAGCCTGCCAGAAGGTGGATGATAAAATAAATCAGTGGATTACACAGACATAGGAAGACACTAAACACTGTGGGGGGAAAAAGAAGGAAAGAAACTACCAGAGGGTAAGCTTCCATTTCAAAGAAGGCAGACCGGGGAACATGCTTGGAAGACACAGAAGCAGACTCGTGCTGAGAAAAGTGTTATGCAGATTTCTGGAGAAAATCATTCCAGTGAATACAATTACCTTGAACCCATGCTCCTTGCTAGTTTTTAGTTTGCCAGTTTTCTCTCTTCTGGTTAGTACAACGAGGAATACATTTGCAGTTTTGATTAATGTAGAAATATTCAGTGATAATCTACTGTTTTTCTTGGCCTCTTTCTTCACCTGTGTCAGCTCTTTTTGAGGTTATCAAAGTTCTTGCAAGAGATACCCTAAAAAAAAAAAAAGAATAGAGCTGAAGTGGGTAGAGACCAGGAGAAAAGCTGGGAAGTCAACTAAAGAAAGAGATCCAGTTTCAGTGTGTGATCCTATAAAAGTCTTTCTTGTTGCAAAGTCTGGCATATGGCAAGGGCTCTCTCCTGGGATTCATGTAATGTTTGGGACAATAGGGAGAAAAAAAATCCTACAAAAACAAACGAACAGCCACAAAATAGATTAATTCTGCTCCTTCTATTTCGTGTAATCAACATGAAATGTCAACAGAAGTTAATGTCATTATAAGACCTTTATGAAACAGAGTTTCCAGTATTAGTTTAAGTTCTAGACACAAGGTAAAAAGTTATGAAATTTCTTTCCTTATCTCAATTCCAGTTTAGCTGTGGTGCTGGTGTCAGGGGACACAGGAACCTACTTACAGAGTTAGGTCCTCTTGGGAAAGTGCCTTGAAAAAGTGTGCTGAACAAACATGAGGCCCAACTATTCTATTCCACTGTTCTCCAGGGCAGGCAGAAAAGTCAAGTGTTTAATTGCATTAGATTTAACAATGATTTGTCCATAACCAATCCCGAAACACTTCAAGCTTTGAGAAAAGTTCAAGCCATACCTTGTGAGTAGAGAAGTTACTTAGCCTGTCTTTTGTTTCAACTCCTGAACCTGAAAAATGAGGAACAGTGGTTACCTGCTTTTCAGTATTAAAGTGAGGACTAATGAGGTTAATTCCCTTTAGTCACCGAGGGCCTGGCATACAAAAATAATGTACTAAAATAATATTGAATATAATTATCACAAAGGTATCTAAAGGTGAAATAGTAACCTCAAAGTACTTCTACTGAGGATGTGTGTGTGTGTGTGTGTGTGTGTGTGTGTGTGTGTGTGTGTGTGTGTTGTGTGTCTCCAGGCATGGTGGACCTGTAATCCCAGCTACTTGGGAGGTTGAGATCCGGAAGATTGTGGTTTTAGGTCAGTAGGGACAAAATGTCTCACCACAAAATTCAGATGTGGTGCATCACATCTGTAATTCCAGCTAAGAGAGAGGAGTTGGTGGTTAGGAGGATCTTGGTCAGAAGCTAGTATGAGACAAAAATGGGACCCCTGATCTTTTTTTGGGGGGGGGAGGGTCAGTCGTGGGGCTTGAACTCTGGGCCTGGGCGCTGTGCCTCAGCTCTTCAGCTCAAGGCGAGTGCTGTACCACTTAAGCTACAGCCCCATTTCCGTTTTTCTGGTGGTTTATTGGAGATAAAGAGTCTCACTATCTTTCCTGGCCGGGCTGGCTTTGAACGGGGATCCTCCGATCTCAGCTTCCTGAGTAGCTAGGATTACAGGCGTGAGCCACCGGCACCCGGCCCGGGACTCCTGATCTTAAAAACATAAAATAAAATAAAATCTGAGTGTGGGGCGTAGTTCTCATAGTGGAACACTTGTCTAGCAGGAATGAGGCTCTGAGTTCAAACGTATCACCACCACTACCAAAAAACAAGCAAACAAAACAAAAACCAAACAGCCCCCCCAAACAAACCACCACCAACAACAAAGAGCCAATATCTCTCATCAACTCGATTTGTCAGAGAGCAAGTCCTGAACGTTTATTAAACCCTCATGACCCAGTGGTTTTTCCCTGGAGGAAACAAGCTCACTGTGTCATCACATCCCAAGTATCAGCTGGTTTTATTGTTGACTTAGTTTGTTTTTAAAGAACTTGTTTAAGCGCGTTCACTCAGGTGGGAAGGTGAGGAGGTCCCGGCCTGGGCCTGGCTCTTGATCGGTGATATTTCCAGCTGGAGCCCAATAGGCTAAGAGTTGCCCTCGGACCCGGTTAAGTGGGCGTGCAGGTGAGGGTGGCCGCAGGCGGCGCCCGTCCCGGCGGGGCTGACCTTCACCCAGCCCGGCCCCGGCCTCGTTCCGCTCCCCCTCGCTGCGGAGCGCCCCTCGCCGCTGCCCGGCCGCAGGTGTCCCCGGGTAGCCGGACGGCGTGGCCCTGGCCGTGTCGGCGGCTGGGCGGGGCACGTCGGGGATCCGGGCCCCGCGGAGCGAAGCGAGGAGAGGCGAGGCGAGGCCGCACCGCCTCCCGGAACTGGCGGGCGCCGAGCGGCGGGGTTGCCGGGGGACCATGGAGGTCGGAGCTGCGCCTCGGGGCCGGACGGAGCGCCGCGCGCTGCAGTTCTCCGGCCGGGCGAGGCTGGAGGACGCGGTTCCCGGGGTGTCCCCCGCTCCGGCTCCACCCCCGCGGGGCTCCCGGGACTCGTGGGAGGGCGAGGAGGAGCCCGAGCCCCGCACGAGCCGCGCGGCGTCCCTGGTGAGCGGGCTGCTCACCGAGCTCTACAGCTGCCCGGAGGAGGAGGCGGCGGCGGCGGCGGGCAGCGGCGGCCACGGGCTCGGGGGCCGCGGGCGGCGCCGCGACAGCCCCGACAGCTCCACCGAGGCCTCGGGCTCCGACGCGGTCCTGGGCGGCCGCGGCGGGGCCGGCGACTCGCGCGCGCTGCAGGAGCTGCGGGAGCGGCCGAGCCAGGGGCTCCAGAGGCGGTACCTGCGGCAGAAAGGTGAGGGCTGGCGGGGACCCGGGCGCACCCCGATCCCGGGCGCCACGCGCGCAAGGCTTCGCTCGGGGTGGGGGGGGGGATCCGCTTTGGTCTGACGCTGGCGCGCACGCGATTGCTAACTCCTGACTGTACCGAATGCGTTGTCTTTTTCTTCGAGTCTAGCGCTCTACCACCCGAGCCACGGCTCCACTTGCAGCTTTGTGGTGGTTAATTGGAGATCAGGGTCTCTTGGACTTTCCTGCCCGGGCTGGCTTTGAACCGCGGTCCTCAGCGCCCGATTATACACCTTGAGTTCTTGATGCATCCGGTCCCCTCGCGTCTCCTCTCCACGGATGGAGAAGATGGGGAGATTCACCGTCCCCCCTCCTCCCCCCCCCCCCCCCCCCGCCCCAACAGGCCCAGGCCCAGTTCCCTCTCGCCCAGGCCCTAGGCAAAAGATTGTAGGGAATCTGATTTCACCTGAACAGCTGCTTAGCTGTTTCTGGTTTGTGTGCCAGATGTTACCCTGAGGAGGCCGGGGGTGTACAGGCGATCCCCCCCCCCCCCCCGCCTCTTTCCCCATCCATATCACTTGGGCAGGGTTTAACTAGTGAGGCAGAATTAATGAGAGAATTCTGTGTCCCATCAAAGAGGGTGAATTCCATTGCGGCCAGAGAGCAAGGTTCCACGCAGAGTGCACTAGGTGTTTTCTTGGGTTTGGTTCTCTCGGTGGTGGATTAATGGAGAGAGCGCCTTGGAGCACTGGTTTCATTACAGAGTTGACCTGGATCTGAGGAAGTGGAGTGGCCTTGGTTTTTTTCTTTTTTCTTTTTCCCCCACAGGAGAGAGGCTAATTTGGAGTTTGTTTTGCTATCAATTCTGAGGAGTGTGTCCTGATTGGAATTGTGTGTGTGTGTGTGTGTGTGTGTGTGTGTGTGTGTGTGTGTGTGTGTTGAACTCTTCATACTAGCTTGCTTTTCATTCAGTAATACAGCATGTGTTACAGAGATAGATAGGAATGCCTCGATTTGCAAAATTTTAGGGAGGTGTGGAAAACTTACATCTTTTGGAATTACTGTCTCCGTGCTAAATTATCAGTCAGGGCACTGGAGAATGGCCTTCTGCCTTCCCATTGTACAATCCAAAACGAGCTAGTTCCAGGAAATAATCAATCTGTCTGCTTTCTCAAATCTATGTAAACAGCTTTCAGCTTCCTCTCCTAGTTTCCTAGCGAGGATTCCCGCCCCCCCCACCCCCCCAATTGTTGGAAATGGCTTCCCCCTTCCTCCTCCTGCGTTGACTTTGGCTGGAGTGGTTGCCAGGTTGTTTGATGCAGTTATTTAGCTGTTCTTAGGATGTGTGCGTGTGCCGGAAGTTCCAGAGGGCAATAAGTTCTTTCAACAAAGTGAAAATTAGGATTTGACTTTCACTTTTTTGCGACAAAAGGAGTTTTAGCGATTAGTAGTTTCTTTTGGGAAGAGGAAAACTGGCCAAATGGTAGGTACAGTTTTGCAAGGCACCTCTGCCACTCACTCATGGGACCTGTTAAAGCTTGTCCCCCCCCCCCCCCCCCACTCTTTAGCTCCCTAAATCCCGCAAATGGAGGTATTGCTCTATCTCTAGAACAACTCTACTAATTGTGTTAGTGTTGAGTTACCTGCTGGTCCTTTCTTTATGGTAGTCAGCCCTATTAGGATGAACAAATCCATGTTATATAAAGGTGCACAGTTTACTAGTAAATATCATTAGAATGCTAAGTTCGAGGTCATGGATTCAACTGTCTGCTTCAATAATGCTGTTTATAAGCTAATCTTTTTTTTTCAGTGTAAAAAATTCCATGCTAACATACTTTCATGCAGTTAAAATCCTCACATAATGCAGATAACTTGTGTATTAGTTGTTAGCAATTGTGGTGTGGCACCACACAGTGCCTATTTAGATATTTTGCCTATAAAGTAGCAAACTGGTTGCTAAGGGCAGCTGGACTGTTTGTTTTCTTGCCACTCTTCCTGACTCACTGTGTGGCCTTGGACAAGCTATTTGACCTCTTTCAGTCTTATTTTCCTGAGGAGGGATAATGATATCCATTTTATAGGGCTGTGAAGAGGAATATATAAATTTATACGCACAAAGTACTCAATGTTAGAAATTTTGTGCACATTTCAATTGATTTCATTATGACATTCATACACATATAATATACTTTGATTATATCTCTTCTTGTTCCCCTTCTACCCAAGCCCTTTCGTCTTCCTCCTACATTCATATCATTTTTTTCCCTCTGTTTAAATGTAGATTCCACACATAAGAGAAAATGTGATATTTGTTGTTCTGAATCTGGTTTATTTCAGTTGACATGATGGTCTCCATTTCCACTCATTCCCTTCAAATGACATAATCTCATTCTTCTTTATGGCTAAATAGAACTTCATTGTGTGCACGCGCATATATACAGATATATGTGTAATATAAACGTCACAGATGTTAAGCAGTGAGTAACACCCCCAACTAATTCAGGTCAAGAGGTTATACCACTTGCATAGTTCCAGTTTAATGTGGAATTTGTTAGTTGTCTTTTTCTTTGGTAGCAATGGCTTTGAACTTAGGACCTTGTGTTTGCTAGGTTGATGCTCTACTACTTGAACTATGCCTTTAGCCTTGCACTTTGCTGGCTATTTTGAAGATAGAGGCTCGTGAACATTTCTGACCTCAAATGGCAGTCCTCTAAATGTTAGCCTCTGAGTAGCTAGGATTACAGGGTCAGCCACTGCCATCTGGCTTGGTATTTGTCTTTTGAGTAGTATCACACTAGGGTTTGGATTCCTCTCAAGTTATTTATGGCACTATTTTTTTAAAAATTCCTTTTACTAATAGACCCTAATGAACTGAAGATGATTCTTCAAGAGCTGAAGTACAGAATTGGAGTTCAGTCGGCCAAGTTACTCCGGCAGCTAAAGCAGAAAGATCGGCTTCTACATAAAGTGCAGAGGAACTGTGACATTGTGACCGCCTGCTTGCAGGCGGTGTCGCCAAAGAGAAGTAAGTACTGGTGGAGCTCCAGGCCACCAGTTTCCCACCAGAGGAATTAATTTCTAGACACAGTCATGGGCCAGGTTTGACAGAAATGTTAACGTCAAGTAGGTAGTGGCTGGGTTTTGGATATTTTGGAAAGTTCTGCTTGAGGAGGCTTCTACCCTCAGAACTAAGAACAGAACTATGAACAGCTCAGACAGCTTCTATTTTTTTTTCTTTTCTGTTAAAGTGAATGTTTCATGTCCGATGCTAAAATCTAAATTTTACTATTCCAGATTTGAGGTAGTACTGTACTTTGACAGTGGTTATTCTTACCTGTGCTCAGTAATGACTTAGATTATCCTGTCAGAAAGCATCAAAGAGATCCAAGCTAAAAGTCATATCTTTGTTCCCTTGACTTCTGCATTATTCTCATAAAAATGAATTACAAAGCCGGGCGCTGGTAGCTCACGCCTGTAATGCTAGCTACTCAGGAGGCTGAGATCTGAGAATCACGGTTCAAAGCCAGCCCTGGCAAGGAAAGTCCGTGAGACTCTTATCTCCAATAAACCACTAGAAAACTAGAAGTGGCGCTGTGGCTCAAGTGGTAGAGTGCTCGCCTTGAGCTGAAGAGCTTAGGGATAGTGCCCAAGCCCAGAGTTCAAGTCCTAAGACCAAAAAAAAAAAAAAAGAAAAAAGAATTACACAATGGACAGAAAAGAGGAAAGTAGTACAAGGATCTAATGACGTGCCCTGCAGTCTGAAAAGGGCAAAATATTTGAGCAATGAAACCTAGCTGTTGGGCAGTGAGTAAGATGTATGTGGTTTATATGTTGTGTGAACAATAACTCATTAAATTAATGATGTAGCTTAAATACGAGATGAATTAATTTTATAGTTCTCCGTGAAATAGTTTTATATTCTGTTCTAATATTTTCGTTTTTGTTTCACACTTTTTTTTTTTATTAACACGCAGCATTGGCAGAGCAGTGGGTTCAGGTATGGTGAATGTAGGCGCATGTGGTATGTTTTGATAAAATGCCTGTTGTAGCTTCTCGGTTGCATGTAAAAATTCCTTTTCTTTCCTTTTGATTGTCATATCTTATGTGCAAAATGCCATATCCTTGAGTTTTTTGGTTTTGTCTTTTTAAATTCCAAGTTATGAGGTGTCTGTTTTTATAAGGCGATTTTTAGACTGAAATCTCAGAAAATAAAATTAATGTCTCTTCAACACCACTTTCATGTTTATTATTAAAAGCAAGCTTGTGTTTTCCTGCTCTTCTTTTATTAGATAGCTGTTTTTTTGTTTTGTTGTTTTGTTTTGGTCAGTCATGGGGCTTGAACTCTGGGCCTGGGTGCTATCCCTCAACTCTTCAGTTCAAGGCTAGCACTTTACCACTTGAGTCACAGTGCTACTTCTGGTTTTCTGGTGGCTTATTGGAGATACGAGTCTCACAGACTTTCCTGCCCCTGCTGACTTTGAACCGCAATCCTCAGATCTCAGCCTCTTGAGTAGCTAGGATGACAGGCATGAGCCATTGGCATTTGGCAAGATCCAGTTTTCTATCCTTATTATTCATGTTTTTTCTTAAGGGTGGTTTTGTTTTATATATATTAAATAGAATGTTGCTTGATTATCATAATGATATCATTAGAGTTCATACCCAGCAGGAATGTGATTGAATACACTGAGTTGTTTTTTTTTGGTGGGGGGGGAGTCATGGGGCCTGAACTCTGGGCCTGGGTGCTGTCCCTGAGTTCTTCAGTTCAAGGCTAGTGCTCTACCACTTATGCTACAACACCACTTCCAGCTTTTTCTGTTTATGTGGTGCTGAGGAATCAAACCCAGGGCTTTATGCATGCAAGACAAGCGCTCTACCACTGAGACACCTTCCTAGCCCCTACACTGAGTTTTAATATGTTTTTCTCTAGACTTACCTGAAATAGTTTGAGAAGGAAGAAGTGTGTGTGTGTGGTGTGCATGTGCATGTGTGTGTGCACTCATACATACATGAGCTTCTTTCTATCTTGAAAAGCTGACATGTGTTAGAAGTTTTTGTAACTTTTCATGAATTTTGATTGATTAAAATGTATCAAATAAATATAATTCTTCCTTTTTTTTTTTTTTTCCCGATCGTGGGGCCTGAACTCTGGGCCTGGGCACTGTCCCTCAGCTCTTCAGGTCAAGGCTAGCGTTCTACCACTTGAGCCACAGTGCCACTCCCGCTTTTTTCTTTTTGCTTATGTGGTGCTGGGGAATCGAACCCAGGGCCTCAGGCATGCAAGGCAAGCGCTCTACCACTGAGCCACCTTCCCAGCCCTAAAAATAATTCTTTTCCCCTATAAGAAGACACTCAAAAGTTTTTTCCTTTTCTCCTTTCAGTTGTATTTCTAACTATTCATTATGATTGTTTATGCTAAAAGTTAAAAATTCAACTGGGTAGCCGGGCGCTGGTGGCTCATGCCTGTAATCCTAGCTACTCAGGAGGCTGAGATCTGAGGATCGCTGTTCAAAGCCAGCCCGGGCAGGAGAGACCGTGAGACTCCTATCTCAAATAAACCACCAGAAAACCGGAAGTGGCGCTGTAGCTCAAGTGGTAGAGCGCTCGCCTTGAGCTGAAGAGCTGAGGGACAGCGCCCAGGCCCAGAGTTCAAGCCCCACAACCGACAAAAAAAAAAAAAAAAATTCAATTGGGTAAATGCCCACTTTCCATGTGTGGGGTGTGGAGCAGTGGCAGAGGGGGGCCAGCACAGGGTTACAGATTACTGGCACTTAGTAGAGATTGGTAATTGTTTAGACTTTCAGTTTATTTAACTGATAGGGCTGACATAGGTGTGTTTTTAAGACAAATGTGCCCACAAGCACCCAACTTGGCTTGGAAATCTGTGACTGCATACTCCTATGGATTTTAGTTTCTCTCTTCAATTCCAGCCAGGGATTTGCATTTTAGACATCGTGGAGTTATCTGACTCCTTTCCTTGAGAGCCATATTGCCAAATTCTCACCTTGTAATATGACTGTAGTAAATGGAACAGCATGTTTTTTTTTTGGTGTGTGTGGTTGATAAATAACTACATTAGAGTGATTATTTGGGGGTTGGGCATATGGCTTAGTGACAGTAGTTGTTTAGCATGTGTAAGGTCCAGGTTTGGTTACCAGTACTGAAGAGGGTGAGAGAAAGGGGGATGGGGGGAGGGGTGGAGGGGGGGGGAAGAGAGAGGGGAGAGGGAATTTATAGAATTTTTTTTTTGGTGCCAGTCCTGGGACTTGAACTCAGGGCCTAGCATTGTCCCTGAGCTTCTGTTGCTCTAGGCGAGTGCTTTACCATTTGAGCCACAGCACAACTTCTGGCTTTTTCTGAATAGTTTTAGGACAAGAGTTTCATGGACTTTCCTGACCAGGCTGGCTTTGTAATCCTCAGATCTCAACCTCCTGAGTAGCTAGGATTACAGGTGTGAGCCACTGGCACCTGGCTACTTAGATATATTTTTGAACTCTAGTTAGCAGGTTTGTCTATCCTGATGTAATTCAGAATATTACTAAATGTAAGAAATAGATAATACTGAAATATAGTTTAATAATTTTCCTTGTTAGATGGACTTCTTCAGTACCTTATAGCTATGAGTTATTTTTCCATTATATCATAATTTACTTATTTTGATAAATACTGAAAATTTTATGTGATATTTGAGAGTACAGTTATGTCTTTTGAACCTCTGACTTTTTTGTGTGTGCTACTATTGGGGTTTAAATTGTGAACAATGCACTCTTGCTTACCGTGCTTGCTCAGGGATGGTACTCTGCCACTTGAACCACACTTCTAGTCCAGCTTTTTGTGGCTTAATTGGAGGTAGGAGTCTTTTTTTTTTTTTTAAATTTTATTTTATTTTATTTGAGAACATACTGTACAGAGGGGTTACAATTACATGGGCAGGATAATGCATACATTTCTTACCAAGCATTGCAGCCTCCTCCTTTGTTTACCCTTCACCTCCCTTCCCAGCCTCCCCCCTCCCCCCCACCCAATCATACCCCCCTCTCCCCCCACACACTGACGTTGTAAAGCTGGTTTTGACATGACATTTTGTACTTCTCATTGTTGCAACAGGTCCACCTGAATCCTTAAACGACTTGTTTGTCCCCATCTCCTCCACAAGTTATACTGACATCAAATATAGTGAAAGCGGGGGTTACACTGTGGGGGAGGGACATACAAAACAACAAAGAAATAATCTTATAAATGCGTTAGAAACACATGTATGAAAGAAACAAAAACATTAAAATACATATTTGAGGGTTCGTTTTCCTAACATCACATTATCTGACTTTTTCCGCTTGACTCATACCTATACTAGATATTGCAAATAAGGGAAACCATGGGACCTATGTTTCTTTGGGCCTGGCTTACTTCACTTAATATAATTTTTTCCAAGCCTTTCCATTTCCTAACAAATGGGGAAATGTCATTCTTTCTGATGGAGGCATAGAATTCCATTGTGTATATATACCACATTTTCTTGATCCATTCATCTACTGAGGGGCATCTGGGTTGGTTCCATATCTTAGCTATGGTAAATAATGCTGCAATAAACATAGTTGTGCTGGTAGCTTTAGTGTGGTCTTTTTTGTAAACATTAGGGTAAATGCCCAAAAGTGGGATTGCTGGGTCATAGGGGAGTTCTATGTGAAGTCTTTTGAGGAACTGGAGGTAGGAGTCTTAAGGACTTTTATGGCTAAGCTGGCTTTAAACTGTGATCCTCTAAGTCTCAGCCTTCTGATTATAGACATGAGCTACTGGCACCTGACTGAACCTTTTTTCTGGGAGATTCCTATGGCTTAGAGACAAAGGAACTAACTTTTAGGAAGAAAGTCTTCCTGAATGTGTGAGGCTAGCTTAAAGTTTGAGAATTAAAAGTTGCTTTTTTACTCTTTGGTTGAATTCAGGGAAGAAAGGAGTTGACAGCATTGATACAGCTCAGCCTGCTGATGCTGGTAGTCAGGACTCTTGCACTACTCTGTTCTAGCC